AATCTCCCAGAAACTCCCATTGTTCACTTTTTCCAAACCCTTTTTTTCGATTTCAAAATCCCGTCCAGCTTCTTTTCTTATTTCTGCCATTTCAATTCTTCAATTCTTCCTCCTCCTTCTTTTCTTCTCCCAATACAGACGATATATCCAGTTCATTTCAACCATTCTCCACCCACCCATACACAACCGTAATTACAACATATCGCACTCTTTTTTCCACCTCTTGTTATTCATCTCTTTCTTCTTCTCCAGAACTATTATAGTTTATGGTTTTCCAGATATCAGTTTTTTTAAAGTTTTGTTGTTTTCGAAGAGAATGGTGCCCAATTTTATCGTTTGGGAGCTAAGAAAGAATCATCCCATCATCCCACCAAGTGAAATCCCAACACTGAAATACTGTAACCTTTAGCATCAAATGTGTTGTCTGAAACAGTAATTACAGTATTAAAAAAAATTTGCCTATTTGAGTGGATAATCTTTGAAGTTCAACTTTGAAGTTTTGAGAAAATCAATAAAAATTGTTAAATTTATCTGCAAATCCCTCTAATAGAAGAGCCCACCGAGAGTGGCTTGGAAAAATAGAAAAAAAACTCTTATGTTTCGTTTTCAATAGGGTTTTCAAAAATTGAAAGATTTTCATGAACTTTGAACGAGAATTCACTAATTTGAAAATAGCGGGAAAAATAAAAGATCCGACTCTAATAGAAGGGCCCTCTGGTATAGAACAATGTAGAAGTCGGCATTTCTAATACATCTTTCACAGTATGTTTTTTGTCCAGTACTCTATCTACTATATTTATTTCCACATAATCCTTGAACTTCTTTTTTGGCTTTTAACCTCTTCTATTTGTTTTTTTTCCCGAAACATTCTTGTTCTAGAAGTCATTATCCGTTCATTTTCTCCACTTCTGGCGCTTCTCCGTGTGTTGTTTTTTTGGCAGAGATTAGCGACAATTTTCTACAGTTTTAGCGTTTTGAAGTAGAACACACAATTACTTTTTGACTTTTCTAAACGCTACTAATTTGTTCTTGAATTTGCGTTTTTCTTGCACTTCATTGACCTATTCTTTGCGATTCTTGAATTGTTTCTAGATTTATTGAAAAATCATAACAATTAAATGTATACCTAGTTTTGAAGAAATAACACTTTTAGATTTGGTTGTGTTTAATTAAAATCGGAATACTGAAGCTATATATACAAAAAAAACTTTGTTTCAGCACAAATGGCAAAAATTAAGATGTTTCGTTAGAACGCATACTACCTTTCAAAGTTTTAAACAGCCAATGAGGAATTGCTGAAACAGTAAATATGAAAAATAGGATTGCAAAATTTGAAGATAAGATAAGTTTTAAATGGAGACTAGAGCTTTGGAAAATAACAAAATTTCACTTTTCCGAACACTCCCTTTTTGATATCTTTATCAGGAACCTGGATACATTGATTCAAAGTTTAAAGTTGTTGGTCTCTATTAGAGTGTTTAAGGTATTTGGAGAGATAATGTGATAAATTGGTATACAAGAAAATGAAAACTCAGTTTTTTCCTGTTTCTTAAAAATTTTGGATTTGTTTTATATTCGAATAGAAGAAGTGATACGTTTCCAGAAAATGAATATAATCTATCTCCTTCCTGAAACCGTAATAATCATCATCAAGTTCTCCCTCCATTTTTGAACCGTTTTCGATTTTTGATCTGTCCTTTTATTCTGCCATTCGCCACCTATTAAATGTCGTTTTCAAGTACCCCATACTTTAGATTTCCCCATTCATCTCCTCATTTTTTGACATTTTCCATCGTTCTCTTTTCGTTCTCATTTCCATTTATTTGCACTTTCATTGACACTTCGACCCGAAAAAAAAAGAGAGGAGGAAGCGACACTTTGCTTTTGGCAATACGGTTTCACACCACAACATATGTATCATTTTTGCATGTGTTCTCTGTGTGTTTTGTTGTTACTTCCTGGAATTTTGTTTTTCTACATTATAATTCTGAAAAAGGGGTCAAGAGGGATTACGGTATTAACTTTTTGGTAGTCTCCCTAGTTGACTAGTTTTGTGACCTACTCATGAACAACAACGAACAGTCAGCAGGGGATTAATGAAGTTTCACTTTAGAACATGTTTTTGTTTCCTAGAATTTTGCATTTGGAATCATTTTCGTATTTATCAGAATATCAGTTGCCTAAAAATAGCGAAATTAGCTAAATTGAGCGTAAATACCGTATAACCTGTATTAGTAGGGCCCCATACTGTCAAGTTTAAACTAATTTTTCTAGGTTCGTCTGCAAGATATTAAAAACATGTCAACTGACAAAAAACTTATGAAATTGTGATCAACAATTCAGTTGACCACTTACTCCTCAGCTTGCGCCACCGTAGATCAGCTGGTAGCCGCACGATATCTATAGCGTTCGGTCCACATGTTCAACTCCTAGAGAGCCTTATATGAACAAAAAATCATGAAAAAAAGTGATTTTTTTCACGTCCTCCCACCTTCATAAATCAACATTAGAATTTCAAAATTTTCCTGTTTCGTTATTGGAATATTACAGGAACACTATTTCGTGCATTCATTCTGTATCTCACTATTTCTGGCACATAAATGAATGAACTGATAAGAGAGCAAAAAATGTCACGGGAGCTACTTGTTGCCATTTTTTTCAAATTTCGTTCGTAAGCGAATCGTCTTTTTTTTCAAATTTTTGCTTTTTCAAAAATCCCACAACAAGGAACAACAAATTTGTAAGAGCGTTAGGATCGTGTGTCTCACAATGACTTTGAGCCTAACTATCTCATTTCCTAAAAAAGATATCAAAAAGTGGTCAACTGACAAAAAATTGTATCGTGATATCAAGAATATTTTGTCGGTTGCCCACTTTTTGATATCTTTTACAGGAAGTCAGATAAATTGCCACAAAGTTGACGACAAGGTGTATACTGTAAATCTCCATCTGCACTTTAACTCTGATTATTGCGTTACCTGAAAGAGATGAAAGAGAATGATCACCTAATGAAATGTTTGTGAGAATATGACGAACATTTTATCAGTAGATTATTTTCTGATATCTTTTCTAGGAATTGAGACAATTTGATTTGAAGTAGGCGCGTATGGGTGCCAACCTATTAAGGTAACAATAATTGAGAAAAATTACAATTTTCACTGTTTCCTTTATTCTATAACCAAGTTTATTTCCTCGAGTTACAATGGTCACAAAAGAAGTAAAAAAAATACCTTCTATGAAATGATCATTGCCCTGTATAATTTTTTGAACGGATTGGAAAAAATTCTTCATTTCCTATTCCGATTTCATGCAGATTTTTTTAAATGTTTTATAACTCTGCTATTGGCTTGAATATCAATTTTTACTGAAAAAAAATTTTAGAAATTTTTTTCCTGTTTCAAGACATTTTTTTTCAAGTTCTTAACGAAAAAGTTTCACTCCTTTCTCAGTTACGATTTGCAGTTATCGTTCTTCTTCTTCAGTGATTTGATTTCTCAAAATATGAATACCAAAATACTTTCCTAGTGGACTCATCAGGGAGTGTATTATATATTATTGTGTCCTTTTTCTCTTTTGTATGCAAATATATACATTCGAAAATATAAGAAGAAGAGCACCGATTGGCGGGGTGGAAAAGCCGCGCTTATCACTCGGCAAACATTTGGAAGGGGGGGGGGGCAACAGAAAACAACGCTGCTGGACGATTCGAACTGTCATTTTCGAACAAAAAAAGGAGAGAGTCGGTTCAGGAGAAAGAAAAAGAGAAAAAGAGAATGGCTGGTGCCATCAAGTGGTCATTTTTCTCACGGTCCAGCATCTTACTTTTTTCTTCTTGGACATCCACCCAGTTTTTTATCGGTTTACCCAGTTTCAATTTTACTGTTTCTACTGGAATGTTTTTTCAGAAGAAAACTTTCATTGCCCTCATGTATTGTCATTTACTGTTTTAGTATCACTTTTAAACCTTTTAATTTTTATCCAATTACTTTAGTCCAGTTTTTGAAACTTTTCAAACTCACTTAACTGCTGAAAAGTTGGCCAAAACTTTTTATTATCATTTTCCAAGTAATTCTTTCTGATTTTCCTTCTAAATGTCCGGAACAAGAGTCGGAACAAAAATGCGGCTGGTGAGTTTAAAACCTTTTGTATGCTCTCTCTCTCTCTATTCCCTGTGCAAAAACCAACACTTCTTTTTCAAACATTTGCTTTAATCACATAGATTTTTACTATAGAAAGTTTAGTTGTTCTTTGGAAAGAAATTTGAATTGAGTGCCCTTCGTTGAAATAAATTTGTCTTTTTTAGTTTGTTGAGTATCAACTAATTCCAACTTTGTCATATTGTTGAAACCGAATTTTTTGTGTTATCCAAGCCTGAATTAATTATTACTCTTGTCTGAAATCAACGCACGTTGAGAGCATTATCTTTTCGAATTTTTCTTAAAGACGCAAGAGCGAACTACCGAATCTTTTGAGCATATTTTGAACATTGTTTTCCTATTTTCTCAATTCTTCGACGATTTTCCTTGTTTTTCAAATATTTTTATCATGTTAAGACATTTTTTCCGATTTAAATTTTAATAAAACTGTGATATTTGTCGAAAAAATTAGAAAAGATAATTTAAAATAGACTCAGAGAATACGGTAGTTCTCTTTTGCGCCGTTAAGAAAAACTTGATTAGCTATCCGTTCGGACAACAGTAATACCTTTCGATGAAATAAATAAAACGTTTGCTTTTGAAATTGATAAAAATCAATTACCTCCGGTTTTATTATATTGTTGAAACCGAAAATTTCTATGTTTGAATTTGATTTTTTTTTTGTTATTCTAATCAATAAGCTGTTTGGGTTAATTATTTCTAAAGTTAATAGCTCTACCGTTACAAACACTGCTCAAAAACTTCTGAGTATAATTTTGTGCTGAAACCGTAATTATTTGATTTACACTCCTTAATTTTTTCTAATTATGTCTTTATTCCCATCAAATATTCTCTTTTTCCAGAATGGGTGTATACGATGACGTGTCTACATTCTGTCACTATTCTCCGACTTCTACCGTTTCAACGTCTTCTTCTTCGTCGTCAGGATTAGCTTCTCCGGTTCGTAATTCGGTTTCAAAAAGTTTAATTTATCGAAATGTGAAATTCTGATACAGTTGATCATGTACTCCTTAATACACTGCTGCACATAATTATAAGTTCACTTTGAATTTTGAATTTTTTCGAAAATTGTTAAGATAGACCTGGCAGCCCATGATTGGAGTAAATACTAATTCAGAATGTCAATCAAATAATACCATTTGAGGCCGCTCCCAATTCGTAATTTTGGAAAACTCGAAAAAATCGAAAAAATGGCACCCGAAAACTGCACATAATTATAAGTTCACTTGAAACAATCGAAAATAAATAAAAGATCCTAAGATTTGGTGAAGTTATAAAAAAAAGTGAAAAGGGATCAAAATAATTTTGTTTATGAGAGTAATTTAGCTGTACCTAGAATCATAATTGGGCCACATCCGTTTTTGGCCAGCTTACACTGTAAATGAACTTTTTCGTTGATAACTGTCCAGAAGACAGTGCTGACTCTAAATTTTTGTGTTTAACAGGATTATTCCCAATTGTTTCATACAGTTTACCGTCAAAAAACATAAGACTGATTTGAAAACCGAGAAAAATTTCTCATTTTAGCACAATTTCACAAGTATATTCCAGGTGGAACTGTGTCTTCCACGGCAGACATCTGATTGAGCTGACTAGCATAAAAGGAAGTTGCACAAGTTTTCATTAAGGAACTTACATAAAACCATAAGAATCTAGATCTTGAGTTCACGGAATCAGCAACTTTTTGGACCATCTCACACTCAAGCATGAAAAATAGGCTATGAGATGTCATGTTTACGGAGTTGTTTTGTGAGGAAGGAGTCACGCATTCTGATTTTCTTTTTCAAATCACAATTGTCAAGTTCAAAATTTATCGATACAATAGTTAGCATACTGCACAGTTGCGTTCTAGACATACGATTGACCTAGAAAGTTATCCATTTTCGCGAATGACCAAATTCCAAGGTCCCAAATATTATTTAGAACTCATTTCATCAATCTGAAAATTTCTCAACATACTTGAAGAATTTTTCAGACATGTGAAGTATGCTAACTATTGTATCGATAAATGTTGAACTTGACAATTGTGATTTAAAAAAGAAAATCGTGACTACTTCCTCACAAAACAACTCCGTAAACATGACATCTCATAGCCTATTTTTCATGCTTGAGTGTGAGATGGTCCAAAAAGTTGCTGATTCCGTGAACTCAAGATCTAGATTCTTATGGTTTTATGTAAGTTCCTTAATGAAAACTTGTGCAACTTCCTTTTATGCTAGTCAGCTCAATCAGATGTCTGCCGTGGAAGACACAGTTCCACCTGGAATATACTTGTGAAATTGTGCTAAAATGAGAAATTTTTCTCGGTTTTCAAATCAGTCTTATGTTTTTTGACGGTAAACTGTATGAAACAATTGGAAATAATCCTGTAAAACTCAAAAATTTAGAGTCAGCACTGTTTTCTGAACAGTTATCAACGAAAAAGTTCATTTTCAGTGTAAGCTGACCAAAAACGGATGTGGCCCAATTATGATTCTAGGTACAGCTAAAATTCTCTCATAAACAAAATTATTTTGATCCCTTTTCACTTTTTTTTATAACTTCACCAAATCTTAGGATCTTTTATTTATTTTCGATTGTTTCAAGTGAACTTATAATTATGTGCAGTTTTCGGGTGCCATTTTTTCGATTTTTTCGAGTTTTCCAAAATTACGAATTGGGAGCGGCCTCAAATGGTATTAATTGATTGACATTCCAAATTAGTATTTACTCCAATCATGGGCTGCCAGGTCTATCTTAACAGTTTTCGAAAAAGTTCAAAATTCAAAGTGAACTTATAATTATGTGCAGCAGTGTATCTTCGATATTTTATATTTTCTCAAGCTTTCTGATAATTTCAGAGAAACCGAAAAATACTTTTTTGAATCGAGTAGGATTCAGGATTATACAATTCCGGTTTTGTAAACACTTCCGTTTAGCTTTTAAGATTTTAAATAGTGATAAACATCATTCTGAAAATGTCGAACTTTGTGGTCTCTTCGAATTGAGACGGATTTTGGGAAATCGAAACATTTTGAAATGATTGTAGAACTTTGAAATGAATCATCGACATACTAATTTTCGGTCATATTTCTCTTCAACATGAAACAGAATTTTTTAGTCTTCCATTTTGTTCGAAGTTATCAACGGATCTTCCTCAAAGCTATTTTTTTATTTTAATGAATTCGATGAATTTCGAGCGAGAACAATAATAACCATGCTCAAATAAACTACAAATGCTATTTTTGAAACAGTAACATTTTCCAGGTGTACGAGAACGTCGAAGAGATGACAGGATTATGCTCTAGGAGCTGGAAAATGATGGGAAAAAGAAGTTCAAAACCGTCGATGAGCGATTTTCTGGCGCAACTTCCTCCACCGCCATCGTCGTTTGATGATGAAGTTTATGGATCGGGATTCGGAAAGAGGTGAGGATTGAAAACAGCTTAAGACCATGCAGTGATGAAAACTAGAGAAGTGATTGATAAAAAGTTTGTGAAACAGAAAATTTTCTGGTCACATTTCAAATGAAAAATTTGAAGACAGATTTTTTTGAAAAAATCGGAGCTGTGGAAGAGAAATGCGGGTTAGCGTGGCCGAATGTCTCACAACGACAACTACAGTCCCCTAGATATATTTTGATTTCCCGGATTTAACATATCGATTTTCAAGGTTTTCGTCGAGTTTCCTGTTATTTCTGCCTACAAGTAAAACATTTTGATAGCGAAAAAGTTGACTGAAAACGCACGAAAATCGAGAACATAAATTCTAGTATTTTTGGTTACGGTATTTGCCGTTGTGGGACCTTCGGCCACCGGCACCTGCGTTTCTCTTCCAAAGCTTCGTTTTATTGTGTGTCTGAATGCTTTGTGTTATATTTTTTGGATTTTCATTCCGTAATAGGGCACACGATGTAACCAAGAACTTCCCGAAAATATTTTATTTGAAAACTTTCAGAAACTGAATTTTTTGTTTTTAAATTTTCGTACAAATACCTGGTCACTTTCTCAACCAAAACCCCATGACTTCCTTCTCTGCAAAATCGAAACCTGTTGCTTTCTTTCCTACTTCTTGGCTTCATTCCAAATATTTTCTGATCTATTTCTTTTCTTTTTCCTTTTCATCGGATGATAAAACCAACGTAACACTAATCCAATCATCAAAACGACGCCGCCGTCCGATATGATTTATTTCGATGGAAAATTTGTGTTGCGTAATCCGAAAAAAAGTGTCTAGCTTAGGATGTCAGTGGATATGATTGAGTGTCAATATAGTGATAGGGAATCGAACATCAGAAAAATTATTATAGAAATATAAATTACTGTTACAGTGTATTTATATATAATTCTCGATTGTACTCAATACGCTGAACTCCTTGTATGATACGAAAAATTGAACAACACTTTTATTATAATAACAGAAGCATTTTATCAGTTGACAAATGTCTGATATCTTGCAAATGAGCCAAGAAGAATTAGTTCAAACAGTTTCGTGGTAATTATTTTTTAGACTGCTCTCTATTCAAATTAAAGTAAATTGAGTTCCCTTTTTCTTTTTTCTGTGCCATTTCGTATCTAGCCAGTTCAAAATTTCCCTAAATAATATCAAAGTAGCGAAACAGAAACCAAACTTTCTACAATCTTTCAAGACCAATTAACACAATTCTAGATTCTTTTTGTGTTCTGTTACATTGATACTGTGTGTTTTCGTTGTTCTCCAATTAATTCTCGCTTAGAATGGTCATAGTATAGAGTAAAAATAATGGTTCCATTAATAGCGAAACGGATAAAAATGTGGAACTGAATTGATATAACTTTCACCATCTCATAGAAATGAGATAATTCAAAACGATAATCTTTGAAGTTAAAACACTCAGATATGAAACATTTATTAACTGATAAATCGTTCACCAATACTTTATCAGTTGACTAAACGTCGATATCTTTCACAGAAATCGAGATATATGAGCTCGAAGTTAACGGTTTAGGTGGGTTTCTATTCGCGGGAATACGGATGCTCTGAATTGATAACTGTGAATATTTTTTAGCTCAAAATAATAAAAATCTCGAAAAGATCGTACAGTTTTTTTTATCTTCTTGGTTTCACAAATTTTCGAAACTTGAATTTTGCAATTTTTTGAAAAACTGGAATTTCAAGGGATTCGTAATTGAAAACGGGTGGTAGCCTAGTCATTTCAATTTTAGTGAAGTCGTTTCTAGAAATTAAAAAAGGTAAGCGTTTCTTTCCTGGCTGAAATCTGGAGTGGTATTAATCTAAAACTTCTGTTTCAAATGAGAATTTTAGATTGCTCGCAGACAGAATAGACGCTATAAACAAACTTGCTCGAAAAGATCAACCAGCAAACTAATTTTCCTATGAGAGTAGTACCAAAAATATGCTATTGAATCTATAGTCCAAGGAAAACAGGAATTTGAAATTTCTTCGGATTTATTCTGAAAAAAAACAAATCATCGTCTAGTAAATCACCCTTTCTCTGAAATAAGCACATCGCACGTTTTTCTTTAATGTGACAACCTAGGACTTTGAATTTCGTTTTTTTTTTGGCTAATACCATAAAACCTCTAATAGAACGACACCCGGATCGTCCACTTTGAGCCTATATATCTCATTTCTTTTGAAAGATATCAAAAAGTGGTTAACTAGTAAAATGTTGCTGATATCCTGATAAACATTTTACTAGTCAACCACTTTTTGATATCTTTCAAAAGAAGCGAGATATATAGGCTCAAAGTGGCCGATCCGGGTGTCGTTCTATTAGAGGTTTTACGGTATCTGAAGTAGTATTGACCTAAAGTTTTCTGTTTCAGATAGAAAATTTAGATTGCTCGCAGATAGAATAGACGCTGTAGATGTCCGCAACACACTAGATTATGTATGAAGTGACCGCTCAAAAATAAAATTTCAAAAAAAAAGAGCTTTTCCGGAGGCTTCGCGACTACAAACTACAAATTATTGTTAACCTCCGTGAAAAAACTTTGGAGCGTCGTTACTCGGCTCATTTCTAACCGTTTCTGATGTTTTTGGGCTCGAAATTTCTGAAGTTTTAAGTAGAACTCCGATTGGTAAATATGTATCATTGTGTACAACAACAAGACAGTGAAGACTTTACGGGACTATGAGAATAGTCCCGAGGCATATACTATGGAATCTATAGCTCAAGGGAAACAGAAATATTTCAATTTTCTCTCGAGTTATTGTATTTGAAATCATCATTCTTATAATAAATAAATGTTGCGGTTAAATCGCGCCGAAGGCGAACACAGCCAACTGTTTGAAGTGCCGGAGGCCCGGTAGACAGGCTGGTTATAAAAAGAAACAAGTCATCGTCTAGTAAATCACACTTTCTTTGAAAACCCATTTCGCTTTAATGTAACAAAGTGACAGAATGAAATCCGAGATAAGCATCTAAAAACACAGTAGTACAGTTCGATCATAAAGTTCGACTTGTTTGATTTACAGACCGGTAGAATCCTCAACCTCAACCGCTTCATCATCTGCTTCGTCACGTCGTCCGATAATTTCTTCTTCAAATCATCATCCGCCTATTTCTGCATCTCCGTCTCCACCTGTTCTTCTCTCTTCACCACCTCCACCACCACATCCTCCCATTCCATCAAATTGTTCTTCGATCGCTCATTCCGCGAATCCCCACATTTCTCGGTGTTTCGATATGCGTCCTCTCTCGCTTCCACACAAAGAAATGCAACGAATCGAGAGGGAGCAATCAAACAGGTCGGTCAAACTTCTTATTCCTAATCGTTTTGATATTCCTGAGCACTATGCAATTACTCCGGCTTGTCCGAAAAGGTAATCCAATGGTTTTTGGAATCTCGGAAGTTTGAAAATATTTTCTGAAACTTTTAATTCATAATTCATAATTCTTTTCTCATAATAGTGAAAGTTAGATCAGGTCTGATTCTGGAAGCCCTTGCTAAGTACTAACTAGTAGCTTCGATTTTCAAACAAAGTCACTGAAACTGCAATTATATGAAACTGGAATTTTAAGAAAAAAGTTGTTGGATTTTCCGAACCAACTAGTTTCCGTTCAGCAAACTATTTTCTCAGAATTATATGTCCAAATCCGCTGACTTTGTATTTTTTTTTCAACTTCAGATGCATTCAATTGAATTCATGGAAACGGCTCATCTTATTGAGCTTCATAGTTCGAAAAATAAGTAAAAGAGATAGAGATTTTTGTCGATTTCTGAATCACATAAATAGTTTTTGTGTTCGAACTTATACCCAGACTGAAGCAATGATTTAGAGATTTCCGTTTTTAATCAAGTCTCTGAAACGATGAAAAATCAAACCAAATGAATGAAATTCGTCATTCCCAAAAATGATATTCTGAAGTTTCAGAAGAATATGTGATTTTTTTTTTGGAACTAGAATATTCTGAGTTTCTAAATTCTGAAAGAGAAAAACCACTCTTCCACTTATAGAAGCTCACCCAAACCGTCAACTTTGAGTTCAATTATCTCAATTCCTGCGAGAGTTATCAAAAATGTGTCAACTGATAAAATGATGGTGATATTATGACAATCATTTCATCAGTTGGCAAACGTTTGTTATCTTTTACAGGAATCGAGATAATTGAGCTTGAGTTGCAACTATAGGGTCGAATTCAGTTAGAGTAGTTACGGTACTCAAGAATTTGTAAGTTTAAGTAGTCTTCGAAAATGTAATATTCTGACAATAGGTTTTCTGAAGCTAGAATTCGTTACAAACTGTGTTTGATGAAAAACTAGTATATTCATAAGATACCTGAAACCGTGAAATTAAATTTGAAACGTTTTTTTTTTCGAAATACACAACTTTTACAGATGGAACAAAACCACAAAATATTTACATAGTCTAGATAAAATCCCTACAGCATTATCATGTTCAGTAAACTAACTATTCTGTAGATTCACTGAAACTGTAAAATTTTCCAGCTATGCATTTTTTTTCTTCATT